TGACTGGGAATCTAACAGTGCCCTCCTGGCTCATAGGTCACTGAGCCACACCAGCCAGGCTTAATACAAGCAAACTTTAAAAAATAGTTCAGTCTCCCTCGGCTGTACTTCTTTATTCAGTTTTATTGAGAAATAATTGACATGTCACTATATAAGTTTAAGGCGTACAGCATGGTGGTTTGATTTACATATATTGTGAAACAATTACCACAATAGGTTCAGCTCACATCCATCTTTTCACATAGATACAATAAAAATAAGAGAAAGAAGCAAAGAATAAAAGGGAGATTTTTTCCTTATGATGAGAACTCTTAGACTCTACTTTTTAAACTTTCCTACGTATTAAACAACAGTGTTAGCTAGTCAACATGCTGTACATTATATCCCTAGCACTTACTTATCTTATAATTGGAAGTTTATACCTTTTGAACATCTCCCTCCAATTTCCCCTCCCTCCTCCACCTCTATATCTGGTAACTACAAGTCTGATCTCCTTTTCTATGAGTTTGGCTTTTTAAATTTTAGATCCTACATATACATGAGATCATTCAGTGTTTGTCTTTGTCTGACATTTCATTTAGCATGATACCTTCAAGGTTCATCCATGTAGTTGCAAATGTAGGATTTCATCATTTCATTTTTTTTATGGCTGAAGAATAGTCTATTGTATATATGTACCACATCTTTTTTTTTAATTTATTTTTTTTATTGCTTAAAGTAATACAAAGAGTATTACATATGTGTCCATTTTCCCCCCGCCCTTGACAGTCCCCTAGCCTCCCCTATCCCCCAGTGTCTTATGTCCATTGGTTATGCGTATATGTATGCATACAAGTCCTTTGGTTGATCTATCTTATTTATCCATTAATCTAATGATGGGTTCTTAGGTTGTTTCCATGACTATTGTAATAATGCTGCTATGAACATGGGATGCAGATGGCTTTTTGAGTTAGAGTTTTTGTTACCTTTAGATATATTCCCAGAAGTGGAATTGTTGAATCGTATGGTAGTTTTATTTGTAATTTTTTGAGGATCTTCCATATTGTTTTCTATAGTGGCTGCACTAATTTGCATTTTCACCCACAATGCACAAGTATTCCCTTTTCTCCATGTCCACACCAGCATTTGTTATCACTTGCCTTTTTGAGGATGGCCATTCTATTCTGATAGACATGTGATGTTGAGACTAGTGATATCCCTAGTGACTAGTGATGTTGAGCATCTTTTCATGTACCTGTTCGCCTTTTGTATAGCCTCTTTGGATAAATGTCTCTCTAGGTCCTTTGCCCGTTTTAGATTGGGTTATTTGTTTCTTGTTATTGAATTGTATGAGTTCTTTATATGTTTTGTATATTAACTTCTTATCAGATATATGGTTTGCATGTTTTCTTCCCATTTATAGGTTGTCTTTTCACTTTATTTATGGTTTATTTTGCTGTGCAGAAGCTTTTTAATATAAAGTAATCCCATTTGTTAATTTTTTATTTTATTGCTTATGCTTTAGATGTCGTATCCAAAAAATCATTACCAAGACCCATGTCAAGGTGCTTTGTTCTATATGTTTTTTAGGAGTTTCATGGTTTCAGGTCTTACATTTAAGTCTTTAATCCATTTTGAGTTAATTTTTGCGAGTGGTATAAGGTGTGTCCAGTTTCATTCTTTTACATGGGAATATCCTACTATCCCAGCACCATTTATTGAATAGACTGCCTTTCTTCATTGAGAAGTCTTGGCTCCTTTGTCAAATATTAGTTGACCATATATGTTTGCGCTTATTTCTGGGCTCTGGATTTTGTTCCATTGGCCTATCTGTTTTTATTCTGGTAACAGAGTTTTGATTAGTATAGTTTGAAACCAGGAAGTGTGATATCCCTGTTTTGTTCTTCTGTCTCAGAATTTTTTGAGATATTTGGTGTCTTTTTTGGTTCCCAATAAATTTTAGGAGTGTTTTCTACTTCTGTAAAAAAAAAAAAAAAAAAAAAAAGGAAATCTTGACAGTGATTGCATTGAATCTATAGATGGCTTGTGGTAGTATTGTCAAGTTTAACAAATGTAATACTTTCAATCCATGAGCAAGAAATATTTTTTCATTTATTTGTGTTTTCTTTGATTTCTTTCATCAATTTCTTGTAGTTTTCAGTGTAGAGAACTGTTGCCTCCTTGATTAAATTTATTCTCCTAAGTATTTTATTGTTTTGACATTATAATAAATGGGATCAATTTCTTTATTTCTTTTTCAGAAACATTGTTCTTAGTATACAGAAACACTACTAATTTTGTATGTTAATTTTGTATACTGCAACCTTACTGAATTCTTTGATTAGATTTAATGATTTTTGTTGATTTTTATGATTGTTTATATGTAAAATTATGTTGTCTGCAAATAGAGATAATTTTACTTTTTCCTTTCTAATTCTGATACCTTTTATTTCTTTTTCTTGCCTAATTGCTCTAGCTAGGACTTTAAGTATGTGAAATAAGAGTGGTAAGTGTGGGCATCCTTGTCTTATTCCTGATCTTAGAGGAAAAGCTTTCAACTCTTTACCATTGAGTATAATGTTAGCTATGGACTTATCATATATGTCCTTTATTATGTTGCGATATGTTTTTTCTATGCCTAATTCATTAAGAGTTCTTGTCACATATGGATGTTGAAATCTCTTGCATGCTTTTTCTGCATCTATTGAGATGATTATATGATTTTTTCCCCTTCATTCTGTTAATGTTATATAATGTGATGTATCACATTGGTTTGCATATGTTGAACCATCCTTGCATTAGGGTATGCATTTTAAATATTGGTCATTTTTTGCAGGGTTCACAGGGAGAGAAGATTTAGGCTAAAATGTGTGAGTTACTTCGCATTGCATAGCCTTCAAGTAGGAGAGCAGATATCCTAAAATTGAGGACATACCATCCCAGGAAGGATTGTGGATGCCATAGAAAGATTAAGATTTGATTTGCTTCAAATCAATATAGTAGAGACTAGATCAGCCAGCTTCTGTCACAGAACTGTGTTGGCTCCATTCTCCTGGAGTCATTGGCCCTCAGAGGCCCAAGGCTCTGGAAGAAAGGCACTTGATAAAAGGGTTTTGGGGTCTGTAATCCTGAGTTAAATTCTTGAGTTTGCTACTTTCTAGTTTTGCACTTTCTTGTACTTAATGTTGAATGTGTATTTGTTCATAAGTCAAAGTATTCAGGCTCCTATACTAACTGGAATTGTATATAAACCTAGTTGATGATCAAGTGTCAGCAACTGGGAAACATTAGTTTTAAAATATAGATAAAAACCTTTATGTATTTTTCCCCTTTTCATTGTGTATACTATTGCATAAACTTACATTAAAATTTTAAGATTAAAAGATGAAAGTGAGAAATACAGTTTATTTTTATCCCAAAGCTCCTTTGTTTTCATTAGCAATCTGGAGACTTAAAACAAACAACTCTCCATTAAACATTTTTAAGAGTAGAAGAATAATTTTCCAAGCATTTGAAAGCACACCTTTTGTACAGAGCACAAATAGATGTTTAGCAGGTATTTGACTTAATTTGGATTGATAAATGTAGAAGTTATTACACGATTATTTATTCACTCATTTGTTTTTAAAAAAAACCATGCCATCCCAGCCAGTGTTACCTAGTGATTGAGCATAGACCTATGAACCTGAAGGTCTCAGTTTGATTCCTGGTCAGGGTACATCGAGCCCAGGTGGCAGGCTCAATCACAGTAGGGCGCATACAGGAGACAGCCAATCAATGATTCTCTCTCATCATTGATGTTTCTCTCTCTCTCTCCCACTTTGTTCCTCTCTGAGATCAATAAAAAATATATATATTTTTAAAGATTTCATCTTAAAGAGATGCCAGGCATGCCCAACTCTTACAGTCATAACAGCAAAATATTGAGCCCCCATTGGCTCTGGCTTTGGCTTGTGTAACTTGGAGAAACTCTCACAGGTGGAAATGTTCTGTGGGACTCAGCCAGATTCAGACTCAAAGTAAAAATGAAATATGAGTGTGGGCTTGAAACAGAGGCAATCAGAGGTAGAAGGAATGTGGGAGTGAAGATATAGTCACTGTAAAGATGGCTTTACCCAGAAAATGGAAAACACCTGGCCTCAAACATGCACTCTTTGGGGACAGTTTGAAAGTTGAGGGAAATAATATAAGAGCAATATAGCTTTAAAAGATGAAAGTGCTCCTGTTTTTAAATTAATTTTGAAAAGAAAAGATGTGAGAGGTTTATGATATGAGCAGAGAGGTGGGGAACAGAGCAAGGAAAGTAGATTTAGCTGTGGAGAGCAGGTGAGCACCTGGAGAGCCATCCATTCATTCATTTATTCTACCAACAATATGTGGAGCTATGCGCTGGTCCCCAGGGTTACAGATGAATCACACACAGCCCTGTCTTCAAGGAGCTCACAGTCCAATGATAGAGACAGGAAGGTGGAGAGTCTCGGTGCCATGTGGTAAATGTCTGTGATGGAAGCATGTACAGGAACAGAGGCTGGGCCATGGTGGGGTGTTGGGGAAGGCCATTGGGCCTGAAGGCGAGAGAGGAGGGCTTTCCAGGCCCAGGCCAGTAGCAGGGCTTGTGCAGGGTGGAGCACGAGAGAGAACCCAGTGTGTTTGGTCTGTCATTGCTGGATGAGGAAAGATGTAGTCCAGACTGTGCTTCCCAGGGCTTATGGAGGTTGTGGTGGATAAGGAGGAAGAAGGGAGTCAGTGACCGTAAGACCTCAGTTCAGATCCAACTGTACATGTGAGCAGGGGCTAGTCACTCTACCCTCCTTTTGCTCCTTAACTTTTAGTTTTCTCACCTGTAAAATGCAAGTGGTAAGGGCAGAGGGGAGGGCCTAGAATCCCGCCCATCTCTCGGTATCTTCATAAAGATGATATGGGGTGCTGGGTGTACATGTGCTTACACAGTTTCCTAAGTCTAGCATGTGATTTAATGAATTCTTTTTAGTGGCTTTGTAAAGTTCATCTCATTTCTCCAGGGAGATCACACTTGCTGTGTTAGCTCCGCACTTCCTGCCGCACCTTTCTGAGGGGGCCCTGGAAAATCCCCTTGAAGTGCATTTGGTCAATGTACCTGCTCCTGGGTCCACAGAAAGGAAGGAGCGGTCCAGATGGAGGGTGGACCAAGAACAGCCCCTGCTCTTCCACCCCGGGTAGGTCCATGTAGAAGGCCAGAGATGCCTTCTGCTTTCAGTATACAGAGTGCACTGGCAATTTACTGAAATTTTACATGAAAACAGGAGGCGTTTCCTTTCTGGAAATCAGAAATCCTAATGACTGCGCTTGTTACATTCATTCGAAAGTATCTAACTTTAACCCATTCACAGTAGAGGGTTTTTTCTAAAGGGCAGAGTGTTCCAGAAATTGTGTTTGTAAGCATTAAAAAGGGTGCTTTTTATTAAAAGTTTGCTTAATACCTTCCCCTTTGCTCTGTATTTTCCTGATTGGTATTATTGTGAGACCTGATTAGTTAATGTTTGTGAAGCCTTGACAGCGGTTCTCAGCCTGTGGGTCAAGACCTCTTTGGGGGTCGAACGACCCTTTCACAAGGGTCGCCTAAATACATCCTGCATATCAGATATTTACATTATGATTCATAACAGTAGCAAAATTACACTTATGAAGTAGCAACAAAAATAATTTTATGATAGGGGGTCACCACAACATGAGGAACTGTATGAAAGGGTCGCGGCATTAGGAAGGTTGAGAACCACGGCTTTAGAAGATGAAGGAAATAGCTATCGATATAGATGATGAGTAGTAACCTTTTTAAGTGTTCTTTTCTACTTCAGAAATTAAATTCCAAGTACAGTGGGGCCTTGACTTACGAGTTGAATTCATTCCGTGACGGAGCTCGTAACTCAAATTACTCGTATGTCAAATCATAACGTGAACGAGTGAGACACGTGATGCTGGGCTGATGTTGTGACGTCCACTGTGACGTTCGCTGCGCCAAGTAGTGGTGGGGTATCTGAAGCTGGCTCGTAACCCGAATTTTAGCTCGCAACTCAAAGCAAAAAATTGGCCGAGAGATGGCTCACATCTCGAAAAACTCATTAGTCGGGACACTCGTAAGTCAAGGCCCCACTGTACTGATCTTAACAACTCGTAGATTAGTCAGCTTTACCACCTGCAACACTTTATTTAATGAGCACATATTTTCAGAATGTTACTTTTGCACAAGGGGAATGAACACCTTACCTGTGCCGACCTCTGAGCCAGATACCTTCAACTTGTTATTTTTAATCTTTACAGCAACCCTGCAAAGCAGATAGAATTGTTCAAATTTTTCAGGTGAGGAAATTTCAAGTGTACATTGGAGAATCTTTAAGTGGCTAACCCAATCTCAAGGCTGGAGCTGGTTTTCAAACCCAGATCAGATCAATTTCAAACCTCATGCTCTTTGCATTACACCATGTAGAATTTTCCATCAAGATCTTTCCTGGAAGATCCATTTATTTATCAATATTTACTGACTAATAGCAGACACAACCTAGAATGGTTTTAACCAGATCAGTTCACTTGCTTTCTCTAAGATGGCTGGGTTGCATGTTATGGTGATAGGAACATTGTCCTCAGACTCTAACAGCGGTCGCCAACCTTTCGGACCTCACGGGCCACCAGTGGTCCCCGGACCACTGGTTGGCAACCTCTGGATTAGGAAATGGAGAAGGGCACAGAATTTGGTTTCAGACTTGAGTTCAAGTTGCTCTTCTGGCTGAGTGACAGTGCACACTACCTGAAACCTCATTTCTCCATCATGCTGAGTGACTTCATGTCTTCACGCCTCCCTCATCAGTAAATGGGGGAAGGACAATGGCCTACCTTGCAAAGTTGTGGGAGAATTAAGTGAAGTAATGTAGGTAAAGACACCTGTCACCATTTATTATGTGCTAACTGTTGGTAGTATTGGAAAGAGTCAATGGCAATTTCGTGCCAAAACATTTTCTTGTGTTACCCAAGGCACTTTTTAATCAGCTCTATCCAGGACCTCCACTTCCCGAGCCTTTGCCATGTTCTGAGCAAGGACTTTGCGAGGCTCCTTTGTATATACCTCTTCATTACCACATTTATAACTTTATATAGTAATTACTTATTTACTTATTTATTTACTTCCTTACAGGCAGGAACCTCTTTTCTCTCTTTGTATCCTTGGCACTTAACATAATGGCTTCTGGCCCATCAAAGGAACTCATTAATGTTAAGGAACTTAGCATGGCTTTTGTTCCTTTGTACTGCTTTTCTTCTTTTTAAGAGCTAACTTCAGATGTGGGAAGGGGCTGTTCAAAGGAAGCACTATATTATCATCATTAAATTGTGATTTCATTAGCTTGCTTTAACATGTACCTGTATTAAAGAAATTTTAGGTTGCACTAATTTGACAACAGTTGGTTCTGAATATTTGTTACCCACTGACTTTTTTTAAAAGGTAAATTTCTGGAATAAAAAGAATATATCAAGAGTTGGAAGAGTTTGCCAAGCAAATTTACTTTTATCTGTGATTTCAAAGAAGTAAACTATTTTTCATACCTTAGTGTATATACAGGTATCATATCCAAATTATCCTTAGGGGCATATTAAATTAGTCCTGAGAGGGCCTGAGAATTATATATTATGCAGTTTGAATTTTAGTGTAAAGATAATAATTTTGAACTTGGTGTTTTAAAAATTATTATTTCTGAATTTTAAAATGCCAATTTGACTCTTGCCCAATTAGTATGAATTAGTGAGGTTTCAAACGTCTATTTTGAAAAAGACAAGATCGTGAAGACAGAAATAGTGACTCTTCTCTGTTCTAAGTATAACATTTTCTGTTGTTGTAAGGCAAATCATAAAAATACAAATAATGGGAGATTTTAAAAATAGAACAATGAGGAAATTGAGGTGAAGAAAAATTAAGAGAATTGTAAAGTAAACTAAATCTAAAGGTAAAGTTTGTGTTTAAAAAAAAACAAACATCAAAAGTTTGCAGTGAAGTCCTTTGCTCTTTCTTCACACACACAGAGCTACAGATCCAGCATCATTTTCCTAGCGCTATTAACCGAGAGGAGATGCAGTGAATCACAGGATGCAGAGTCCCTGAAACAAAAGCAAACCCATCGAAGGACAGAGAATATTAGTGGCTCATTGCCATAATAAAGTATTTGCCTCAAAGCAGACCAAACATAACGATACTTTGGTATTTGCTTCTTATTCATGAGATTTTTAATAAATGTGTATTAGGAGGATCTCCATATGCAGGAAAGAGAGAGAAGCTGAAAAGCATGGCACGGAATGCTGCTTGACAGTGTCATACATTCACAAGATGTCCTTGAAGATGGAGCACAGAACAGAGATCAAGGAAATTTTGGCAGCTGCAGTTGGGAAAATAAATGGCTGTTATGCGATTGGGTAGATCCTGAAAGCAGGCTCCTGCTCAAACCATGTAATTAAGAAAAGTGCGAGCTATTGTCCAAGTGCAGAATGCTCATAATATCAGAGTTTGTCAGCGGGAGCTTTTAGAACGGATCAGTACTTTTCACTCCCTGATCCAGGGAATGGTTTTCTTATAAATCATCTTCTCTCCTTGCTGTCCTCATGAAGGTTGCTGCCAGGCGATAAGGCCAACTCAGATGGTAACCTTGCACAGTGAGTTAGGTGAAGGGGAGACCAGACCAGAGGCTGTTTCAGGAAATGTGATTTTCAGTCCTTTGGACTCCTGTGTTTCCTCTGGTGTGGGAACAAACATTGTGGCCAAAGAGAGATCCTGCAGGAAGACTCTTGGAAGGAGATGGAGTCATTTTTAACACCGTGGCCCCCAAACTGATTTGAAGGATTTATTTTCTTTCTTTCTAAAAAAGAACTTCCTTCCAGATTACAAAAGGGCTATATTTTCATTGTAAAACAAATACACAAAAAAATGGAAAATGATGATGGAGACAAGTAGTTGATAGAATTATCATCTGTAATGCTACCATTTATTGTTAGCATTTTATTTTTCCTTTCCATTCTGTGCATATTTATGTAAATGAGATAATCAGTTTTTCACCTTTCTCCTACATTGATCATACACATTTTCTTATGTTATTAAAAACTACTATAAACATAATTTTAACAGTTGCAGAATACTGTATTATAAAAAGTATACAATAACTTACTTAGTCATTCCCCTTGTTGGGCCCTTAGATTGATTGTTTGTTTGTTTCTTTACTCCTCTAGATACAGTTTTCTTAATATATCTTATTGTGCATACTTTGGGTCTACAGAATTTTGGATTCTCTTCTGAGCTTAAGAATGGATCACTGGGTCCAGGAATATGAACACAACATTCAGAAAGTTTGTGTCAGTACATACTTCACCAATAACAATGAGAGAGATTCTTTCATTGCATCTTAAAACTTGATAGTTGCAACCCCTGAATTTCTACATTCTCTGTAAACATGTGGTCCACAGATAATTCAAAGACAGTTCTGCCATCTCAGGTCTGCATTCTCACCAACACTGATTCGGTTCTACTCATACCCATCTGCCCTCCCAGAGGATGTCCAGGAGAGTGGTAGCCCAACTACCTCTCTGAGATAGTTTGAGGGATAAAGTTCTCCTACCGGGTCAAAAAAGTCCTTTTTTTCTCATCCATATACCAGGGAAGTCAGTGAAGGATGAAATTAAAAATAGATTTTCAAGTGCAATAAAGCCGTTTTCACATTTAAAGCTACCCTGTCAGAACAATGTCCGGGATCTTGCACTAATGAACATGCAGATATACTAAGGGACTGTCCGTGGATTGAATTTAGCATGCCCGTTTTTACATACATTGAGGTGCTGAAAACTTTTATTTCACTCAGCATCTTAGTGACAGAATGCCCCCAAAGAGGCTCTCCCTTGAATTGCACAATTGGGAGGGCAGTAGGCTCACAATGCCTCTCAATAAAGGCAAGGTTGCTGTGTGCAGATTTTTTTAGATACTAACTCCCTCTATTCCCCTCTGCTCTCCTCCCAGCTCTGTTAAGAAAATGAGTGTTAATTTTCAAAATAAAAATTGCATTATGTAGATTTCTGAAAAATTTAATGAATGTGCATAAAAATAAAATTCAAGTTCGGAGACATGACCCGAATCTTTAGATCATGATAAAGATGCACGGAATAACATATTGCTTTTTACAATTGAATTTCAGTGAGTTTGCTCACACTCTGAACCACTAGTCAAGCATTTTATAAATATACAATATTTATGTTTACATGAATCTTGCCATTGACTATTGTTTATGCATTAAATCAGAAGACAAGCCCAACTTAATCAGTCCGTGGACAGTTTTACAAATAATTCATTAATGTTCTTTGTATGGAAGATGAGGATAATATATTTACCATCACAGCTAGTTCCTATTTCAACAGGTACTGATAACTTATATTTAGGCATTTTGATTATTTTGACCACATTAAACATTCAGAGTTTGGGTGGCTAAAAGGTAGGAAGTGATTGTTTTTGTGTGAAAGTTAATATTTTTGCAGTCAACCTGAGAGCTTGCCCACGAAATTGTATTTATATTAAAATGAAAACATTTGTCTTTTTTCAAACATGCCTTTAATAAAGAAAGCTTATTGAAATTTGAAATTGTACTTATTTAGTGGCCATTTTGGAAAAGAGGATCGAATGGGGAGTGGGGCGGTGAAGGAAAGGTTGCCTCATCTTTGAATTGAACTGGATAATCAAGCCATCCCTAAGCTTGGGAGAGTTTCCTGTGAAAGTCTGTGAAAAACAAAAACCCAGAGGTGTTACCAGGACCGCCCCAGACTGGGCCCACCAGGAAATCATTTTAGGCCCAAACCGAAGCCCTAAAGAAACTGTAAAATATAAAGGAGGCCAGTATTTATTCTGGAAGAGAAATGTGTTTGGGGAAGAAGATGAAAAACTTGGTTTTCTGTAAATTTGAGACCAATGCCTAAGAGAAATTAAATTTTGATTATGCGTTTCATATCCAGGCCGGCCCTACTATTTTAAGTATTAATGTCTCTTGTTTTCCCAGCGGCTGCTGATTTTGTAAAAGCCCTGGCTACCACTGCTGGGAGCACTTTCAGCACCTGGTGTCCATCTCCCATGAAGAAGATGCTATTTCAAAGGAATAGCATACTCCAGCTTACCTCCTGTTACAAACACTTGTTTAGGACGTGGGCATTTAGAGTGGGAACAGAACTGTCATTTCCGTGTCAGACTGGAGTAGGACTAGCCTGTGTGTATTTCATTTATGTGCTTTTTTGGTGAGGAGGGAGAGTCATTAGAGAAACTCTGGAGTAGGTTGCTTAAAAGGAAGGGG